GATTTCAAAAAAAAAAATATGTACTGTATAATATATTGATATTTCGATGAAACGGTCTAAATGAGAAACTTAATTTTTTTTCAAGTCGGTTAAAAAGTTGATACTTGAGTTTCTTTCGCCCGTTTCTTCTCCGTTAGAGGAACCTCATTACGAAACGGTGGTAGATTTAAACAATTAGTATCGATAATTTGTTTGTCCGCGTGAAATTTATGTTTGTGAAACGTCCTTACAACACAGGATAATGATATCCTAAAGTAAGGGCAATGTTTTTAAAACAAAAAAAAAATTGAAATGTTTATCTCTTATTTCGATGAACAAATGATTTGATTTGATCTGTTAAAGACAATTGACACTCGAGATCGGCAAAGAGTCGACTACGAACCATAGTGTTAATTATTGTAGATAGTACGATTGTCGACCAATTTTTCGATGCAGACACGATTCGAACCTTCGTCTTCCGAGTAGAGCCTAGAAGATCTAGTCATTGAGCTATGCAGCTGTATTGCCCATACATTCTGCTCATAAGAAAACTATTAGCACTGAAGATTTTAAAACAATACTAATATAAAATAGATAAATATTGCGGGACACATTTTTACGCATTACTCTCGTACCAAACTAAGCAACGCTTGTACTATGGGTACTAGATAACTGCTAAACATACTTAAACATAATTTTCTTTTTGCAAATAAATACATATCATACACATTAATCATAAACACACATTTAAAATGTTGTTTACTCCATACGATTCGTGGAAGCCGCTTCGAAGTATACCATAGGTATTATTCAATTACAATTTATACTTTATGTCACTGTTCAAGAGTTTAAATATAATTACTGGTTTGAAACCGGTTGTACAATATTCCAATCTCATATTATATCATTAGTTTAGGAGGAAGTCAAACACTTCTCGTTGTATCGGAATTAATTATAAAGATTGTGATGCAATCATTGATATTGAAAATATTAAGATGATCGTCAAATTTGATATAATTTCGCACCATGCGTAGAACATCGTGACATCTGCAAAATTGTAATTGTTCAGGACGGCCGATTCAAAATTCACCAAAAAAAAATTTTTTTTTTATCTTTTTTATCTTTATCTTTTATTTTTTGTCGATTTGTTATTTTGTTATTTTTTTCCGTTTTTTTTTAAAGTTCTTTAGTGAAAAACACCAGTTCATATTTTCTTATTATTACGTCGGTAAGATCGAAACATATTATGCATATTTCATTACTTGGTAATTTGTATCTAAATGTAACAGTGACGTTTTCCTACGTAAAATAGCAAAAATTAATGGGTCACACGTTCATTTATAACGTTGTTAAAAACTCCTACTAAAAACTCTGAAAATATGTATGACATAAACGCATGTAGCACTGTTTTCAACGAACAAATATCCATAAAAAAGTGGCTGACTGTGCAATAATTGATCATTTGATCTTTTTTTTTTTTAAAACATTGCCCTCACTTTAGGATAACATTATCCTGTGTTGCAAGGATGTTTTAGATACATAAATTTCACGTGGACAAACACCCAGATGCGAAACAACTATCTGTGGGTCGCACAAATAGTTGTCCCGTGTGGGAATCGAACCCACGACCCCCGACGCCGAAGCCTTAGATAGAATAGAAGATTTTTTATCTATTCTATCGATTATTTAATTATCAATTGACTCTAATAGAGTATATTACACTCGTCTATTACATTAGTAAGGTTAGTCTAGTCAGTACAAAAAAACAGTGCCTAAACGTATATATTATGTCCTTGTACTGCGGAGCACAAATCAGATAGAACGTTGTTCTATTCTGAATCTCAATATCTATAAGTCAGAAAAAAAAAATGCTATCTGAAAGCGTAGACAATAATTAAGAGTATCCGACGATAAAATCAAATTCGTTCTATGTGACCACAGAACGTTATTATACGCACGGTGCGATTTGCACTTTGTTGTCGGTTAACTTAATACCAAAGAAAGCTTGAAAAATATGTATAAAACTTAATAAGTTATAGCGTATTAAAACTTGTAGAAAAAGTACTAAAAAGTTTCGCCGCTGTGGGAATCGAAGCCCACGTCTTCGGCATTCACGGCCTGGCGCTTTAGCCACTAAGCTAAACTACTGATTGCCACACCAACGAAAATCTTAACATTGTTTTTATAGCATTTGAAGCAATGCTTTATAGCGTATATTATTTTCTTAACATAAAGTTTTAAAATAAAAGACAGCTTTATCTAAAATTTTTAAATTCTTCTTAAGTGTAAAGCGTAGCACTAAAAATTCAAATATATTTTTTTTATTTTTCATACATTACACTGCAAGTCATGGACGTAGTTAATTTTTAAAAAATAAGCTTTGAAATAACACTTCTCTGCGAAACTTCATAAATGATATATTTATATCTTTAAAATTCAAACAAACGAGTACATTACAAACTAAAATTTTGTCATACCCTTTGGGTGTCCCAAAAACCGGCGCTACCGGTCACTACTCGCGAGTGTCCTCTAACACACAACACACAGTAAAAGATTAATTAATCTAGGCATAAATTAATATATAATAACAGCGGAACATTCTGCGACAATGTCCTGTCGTGATATTGTATCTGTTGCGAACAATTGTTGGGATTTTACTTGTTTATAGAGCATTTCGGATCATTACACTGGCCGTTTCCGTTGAGTTTATTAATAAACCATAGACCGTACTCTTGTCGGGCTTTTTTATTTTTTAATTGTGGTAGGGCCACCGTTCAAGACCGGCGTTCTGCGTTACGTCTGGTGAGTGAGGCAGCCGTGGCCCGCTTTGTTAAAAGGTGGCAACGCATCTGCCACCCTATTGGTGTTGCAAATGTCCATGGGCGGCGGTTGTCACTTAACATCAGGTGAACCGCCAGATCGCTTGCCAACCACTGACGGTCAACCGTGTCAACAAAATTCGCCGTTCTCGAGCAGACATCGTTTAAAAACCCGTTTCAGTTAAACTGTTATCACTTCGTCGTTAACAGCTACTCTTAATAGACTGGCGTTTAAATATAGCTCATTGTTCAGGCGTTTTGCTTTTAATTTAATATACTCGAGCAACCTGAGTTCGATCCCCGGTGCCGGCATCATTAAAATTGCCAATTTTAATTTTTTTTTATGCGAAAAGTTGCCAAACGAGCAGACGGGTCACCTGATGTTAAGTGAATACCGCTGCCCATGGACATCTGCTACACCCGAGGGTTACAGGAGCGTTGACAACCTTTTGAAAATTGGGCTCCGGCCACCTCACTCACCAGACGAAACGCGAAAGTATTTGTCATACCTCCACTTTACGCTGGCCTTCTGTGGAATCGTGGTACTTACCCGGACGGGCCTGCCCATTCGTGCAACAGCCGAGGCTGCTGCGTGGCCCTAGCACTGTTAAATGCTGAATTATCACGTGCTCAGCGGTGAATGGCGAGGAAATCGTATGTTTTCGACATAATAACAAAAAAAAAACACCTGACTAATACCCTCTGTACCTTTGCCCAGCAGTTGGATGTATACAGGATGCTTTTTTGCTTGACAGAGCCATGATAGCTCAGTGTCCGAGCGCTCCTTTATATTAATATACTCGAGCAACCTGAGTTCGATCCCCGGTGCCGGCACCGATGAAATTGTCAATTTTAAGCGCTGAATTATCACGTGCTCAGCGCTGAAGGAAAATGACAAAAACGGCCCTTATACCATCTGTTCAGAGGACGCTTTTGCCCAGCTGTGGGATATGAAGCTGTGGGGATGAATTTAAACGAAAAATTAAAAGCAAATTTATGGCTGAAGCCTATTATACTATTGCGGAATATCTTGACGACGCCAATGTGTGGGGTTAATACTGTTGATACTCAAGTAGGCTAAAACAATACTATTATACCTGTACTATTATACTGTAAACTACTAACTACTATTATATTGTAAACAGACCTTTTAAAAAAGAGCAACTGTTGAGTTTCTTGCCGGTTTCTTCTCAACAGAAACTGCTTTCCGAACCGGTGGTAACTTACGAACGTGTTAATTTCTTTGTAAAATTTTGACGTTTCATAAGAACGCGCAAGCGTCTATGTGAATAAAGATATTTTATCATTATTATTATATATGTATAGGCTGTTATATTACTTCAGTTAGGAAAACTACATACTAAGGAAATACCGTAATAGCGACGGCGCATCGAAGAAATGAGTAAAACGATATTTCGAACATTTGTGTAGTCTGCTAATCCGCATTGTGGGGCCGTGGCAATCGATACCGTAATAACCTCTGTGTTGAGAAAGTTTTTTCCCGTCAGTGGAAGGGCTCGAATACAAGAAGCGTGTATAAACTTTAAGTTCTCACATGCACTGATCGCTACCCTAAACTAATCCATTCCCTTAAGACAAACAGCCGAAACGGTCCCGTTTGCTACAGATCCCTGTCTCGTTAGGAGTCCAAAGCACGACCAGCTGTCCCGAAGCCTATGTAGCCTTTTTTTTTTTTGGTATCGGGGGGGAAATCTTCAAAAGATACCCTGTCACTTTACACTTTACAGGGTTATGTGGGGTTCTTACCCACTAAAACCCCCTTAGTGGCCGCCTTCTGTACATTTGGAGGGACTCCGGGATCTCCCATGGAACGCACCGGTGTCCCTCGGTACTACGCCTGAGCACGCCTCGGAGAAGGATAAACCTTCTCCAATCCCCTCAACCTCTTGCAGCAGCACGAGACCACTTCGTGCTGCTGCCCATCCGTGTCCCCTTTTAGTCGCCTTTTACGACAGGCAGGGGATACCTTAGCCCTATTCTATAAGCCCGGGACTACAGGGCTGAAGCCTATGTAGCCTGCCAACTGATCATACCATTAACCTTGGACCGCTTTTCAAAACGCAGTTATCATCATAGCATTAGCTATCTTTGACCGCCTATTCGAGCTCAGAAGACACGTGTGTATATTTGTGTGTGTGTTTATGTCCGTCTTCTTTAATTCCAGACGAAAAAGATGTCAGTATGGCTCGGTGCGACATCATCGCAGCAGTGTTCCTCGCCAGCCTCGCGGTGGTCGTGCACGCCCAGTTCTACGGTGAGTGGCAAGTACTGGTGTTGCAAGAACTTGGAAAATGGAGGCAATGGTCCCTAAGATCCAGACCAGATCTAGTTAGAACAGCTCTCACCGAGCTGGATAAAATGCCAACGCGTTCCACTGTTTTTTTAATATAACATTATCCTGTGTAAGGTTCTGCACATACAGACTCGTGGGAAAACGTCTAGATGCGAAACAATTAAGTGTGAGCCACAAAAATACTTGTGCCGCGTAGGAATCGAACCCACCACCCCCGACGTCGAAGTCAATAGCTTAGTAACTTTGCCACAAAGTAATCAGTCAATGCATATGTAGGTAATAAATATTAAAATAAATAGTAAATCTTCCTGAAAGTTACCACGGTATTTTGGCCATCTATTATATATCTCGTATAATTTATACTGTTACCTTTATATATTATTAAATTTAGTGACGGTGTTTAATAAAGTTTACTTTACGGACATCGCCACATTTAATTTGGTTAACGCGCAAACACTAGAAGCGATTATTTCTCGACAGATTTCTACCAAGCGTTTCAACCACTAGTCCAGTCTTACCCCACCTTAACGGACAACTACGAACGCGCGCACACAACAAAAAGGCCGAGAACAACCATCAGACACAAGACCAACGGCTACACGGAACAAACAAGCAAAAGCAGAGAAGTTACTAGAAGGAATCCGGTCGCAATATCCAGCCTAGAAGCGCCGGTGAGAGATGATTCTAGAAGGAGGGAGAAAACTACGCCGGCTCACGTCACACAATCTCCGTCAACCGCAAAACCGGTCAGGAAAACCAGCAAACCCAGTACGTCACAGAACAACCAGAACCCCAAAGCCAATCCACGTGCCAACTCCAGGAACACCGCCCGGGAAATTGCCAGCAGCCAAAAGCAGACGGCTAGAGACCCCAGCTCATCCAGGATAGTCTACGAGGAACCCGTCTACAGCGCCAACGGTTTCATTAACGAAGGGAGCGGCAGAAGACCGGACACTGCTTACGAGGCCAGCACAAAAGCCTCCAATCCGAACAGGGGATCCAAAAACCCGTACACCACCCAGAACCCGTTTCTCAACAGGCCTGGGGTCAAACCGGCGCCTGTGGACGAAAGGAGACCGCCGATCACCAACAGGCCTCAAACCAAGAAGCCGACCCAAGAAGCGCCAAGACCGACTGATAGTGCTATCAAGTTCCCTCTGGACCAGACCACATCGCCGGAACTGATCATCGGACCGAACGAGGATGGCATGAGCGAAGTGGAGAAGAGAAGATACGTCGAGCTATCGGAGAGGAGTAAGTTTCTCGTTTTAACTTTCATGTCAAGTAGGTAAGAATTAAAACGTGTAGTTTTCTTGTAATAAAACGTTGATTTGATTCTGTCCATATTCTTACGAGTTAGTGGTTGGGGGGATGTGAGTAAAAGAATGGGCCCTTTTCTTTATTTGCCTATCGACGTAGATAGATATCGAGATTTTTACTGCGGCAGGGCCACATAACTGTCTAAGCTACAGCACGAATGGGCAATTTTATTTATTTAATTATTTATACTTTATTGCAACCTTTAAATAAAAAGGATTACAAAGGGCGAACTTAATGCCTTAGGGCATTCTCTCCCAGTCAACCCGGGGCGTGGTGAGAAATCGTTGTAGGTGCAATTATTACATTAAAATATTTATAATTCCGTCCGGGGAAGTACAACGACCTCACAGAAGCGGCGTGAAGTAGAGGTGATATACTTCTGCGTTTCGTCTGGTGAGTGAGGTAGCCGAATCCCACTTTATTGAAAGGTGGCAACGCAACTTAGGGGCAGGGGCTTAACTTACCATAAGGTGAAGCGTCAGCTCGCTTGCCTTACAAAAGAAAATAATTTCGCGCCCGAGTTCATCAGCCGCTTAGCTTAGGTGGTAAGGCGTATGGGCGCGAAACAAGAACACGCAATTACGAAACCAGCACCAAAAGCTTTTGTTCGATAATCCGCAATAATTCACAATTCGAAGACAACATCTATTGGACACAATGGTCATCAATGTGCCATGATAGCTCGGTGTCCGGGCGCTTGACTTTAATTCAATATACTCGGGCAACCTGAGTTCGATTCCCGGTGCCGGCACCAATGAAGTTTTTAACTTTAAGTGCTGACTTATCACATGCTCTGCGGTGAAGGAAAACATCCTGAAGAAACGTGCATATTTTCGAGATAATAACAAACAAAAAATATTTCGAAGACATGTGAAGTCCGCCAATCCGCAGTGGGGCCGCGTGGTGGACTATGCCCTCGAACCGTCTGTACAGAGGAGGCCTTTGCCCAGCAGTGGGTGATGTATAGGCTGTTAATCGACTCTTTTTACAGTGTGCGACAAATACAAGAACCTGAACACGAAGCAACTGCAAGCGATCCCCCTCGTGCCGTCGCCGGAGCCTGTCCAGATCAACGTGAGCTCGTGCGTGCCCTCGAACGTACCGCTGGTGGTCGGGGGCAAGGTGGTCTCCATCAGGAGTTCCCCCACATGGCCCTCATCGGCTGGCTGAAGCTGCAGGTGAGCGATACGTTTCCAATTGACTCTATAATATATATATTTGCGCCCTGTTCCTGAAACACTAATGTCAAATGGCTACTCAAACGTCATTTGAGATGCCAAAAAGGTGGTTAAACTCTCTTAAAATCAGAATTCTGTGCGATGATGTGTCAGTGTTTTAGAAACCAATAAATGTTATAAATGTTGGACAAATAAATTGTACATCTTATTAATGTAAAAAAAATTCTCTCAAAATGTTTGGCATCTGCTGGGTAGTCCGAGATTGCTTATGTTCATTCACCATTCATCCATTTCAGCTTGGTTTTGTCCAATGCTGGTTATGACTGGTCATCCTATGGCCTCCCACACAAACTGCAGCACGACTCTGAGCCACCTGCATCCATCGACCTCCAGCACATTTGCACAGATCGTCACTCCATCTAGTGGGTGGTCGTCGTATACTACAATAGCCAATACGAGGCTGCCACTCGATAATGTTTCTTCCCATCAGTTATCGGTTTTACGACCTTATGGCCCGCTCTTTGCCACTTCAGCATAATCTACTGAGCTATGAAGGTAGTCCAGACAGAAATCGCAACCATAAATTCTTCTACTCTAAAATATTCGTCTGTATTCCTACCATTGACCTGTTCTTTCTTTGTAAAACCACTTCAACGAGCGTTTATTTTTAAGTGAGAAAGTGGCAAACACGCTGGCGGTTCGGTTCGGTTGGTACTAACCCGAACGGACTTGCCCATTCGTGCGACGGTTATCACTTAACATCAGGTGAACCGCCCGCTCGCTTGCCGATTTCTCACGTAAAAGAGGATGAGGCTCAAGTGGAAGACTTGCAGACCAGCGGCTACGCGTGGAGATGCGGCGGCTCGTTGGTGAGCAACCAGTTCGTGCTGACGGCCGCCCACTGCGCCTACGACGAGAGAGACAACAGCATCGTCATGTGAGTCTTGCTATATCCTTCGTGCTGTCTTCGATTTCTCAAATTTGCCGGTAGTACACCAAATCCCAATTCCACAATGAGGTATCTTTTATACCCTAATAGGGCCTAATATCCTCTAAAAATGCTATTTGACCAGTATTGAGATTTGTGTACACGTTAGCGTAGTGGATAGTGAACCTGTGTCTAGCGTAAGAGGGTGTAGGTTCAACCCCTACTGCTGGAAAAAATATTGTGTGATGAACATAGTGTTTCTCTTGTGCGCGGGTGTTTATATATGTTTAATATGTACATATTTATAAAAGAAAAGTATTTATATATATAAAAGTATTTTAACTATGTTTATATATTGAGCCGTGATAGCTCAGTGTCCGGGCGCTCGCCTTTAATTCAATATACTCGAGCAACCTGAGTTCGATCCCCGGTGCCGGCACCAATGAAGTTTTTAACTTTAAGTGCTGACTTATCACGTGCTCCGCGGTGAAGGAAAACATCGTGAGGAAACCTGCATATTTTCGAAATAATAACAAAAAAAAATATATTTCGAAAATATGTGAAGTCCGCCAATCCGCAGTGGGGCCGCGTGGTGGACTATGCCCTGATACCCTCTATATAGAGGAGGCCTTTGCCCAGCAGTGGGACATATACAGGCTGTTACTTTACTTTTTACTTTAATCAGTTATCCAGTACCCACAGTACAAGCGTCGCTTAGTTTGGAACTAGAGAACGTTGCATAAATATGTTTAATACAAATGCATAAATAATTCTCCCCGCGCGTATAGGGGAACCCCACGAGTGGTGCAATTGGGATCCTCGTATCTCGACGACCCTGGCGCCCTGGTGGTGAAGGTGGCCGCGGTGGTGCGCCACCCGAAATACAAGCAGCCCAGGTCGTATTACGACATCTCTCTCATCAAGCTGGCCACAACGATCACGTGAGTGAATGATGTTAATAAAAGGTTTATTTAATGAAAGGCCTTTTGTTAAGGTTAAAATTAAGACTGGATGTTAATTTAGGGTCTTTTTTAATATATTTATATTCTTTGTTATTATAGTAAAAGGCCTTTTGGTAACCTAAAATCAGGACTTGATCTTGATAAATGGTCTTTCAATAGGGACTTAACACCGTGACTTAATTTTAGTCACGGTGTTAATAAAAGGCCTTTTAGTAAGACTAAAATTAAGATTTGATGTCAATAAAAAGCCTTTTTGTAACGCTTAAATTAAGACTCGATCTTAATAAAAGGTCTTTTGGTAACGCTAAAATTGAGACTCAATGTTAATAAAAGGCCTCATGGTAAGGCTAAAAACTAGACTTCATGATAATAAAATGCCTTTTAGTAGCGCTAAAATTAAGGCTATGTTTACATAAGGTCTCTTGGTAACGCTAAAATTTAGACTCGATGTTAATGAAAGTCCTATTGGAAATGCTAAATTAATTAAGCTGAAAATTTCGCTATTTTCAGCTTAATTACTTTAGCATTTACTCAGATTAACGAAATAAATTTAAAACTTTTATATGTCTTAATCTCTACCATAACAAGATCGTCAGCGATCAGATTTCGAGAATAGTACAACCCAAATAAATTATTGATTTTAAGTGCTGACTTATCACGTGCTCAACGGTGAAGGAAAACATCGTGAGGGAAACTGCATATTTTCGAAATAATAGCAAATAAAATACTTTAATGATATGTGAAGTACGCCAATCCGCATTGGGGTGGCGTGGTGGACTGTTCCCTAATACCCTCTGTACGGAAGAAGCCTTTGCCCAGCTGTGGGACATAGGCTGTTACTTATCATCATCATCATCATTTCAGTCTGTTTGATTCCACTATTATGCATAGGCCTCCCCCACAGACTGCCACGAAGCACGATCCTGACCCACCTGCATCCATCGACTTGCCGCACATTTGCACATGTCGTCACTCTATCTAGTGGACCTAATGGGGTATTAAATCTATGGCTAAGGGTGCAGCTGGTCTATTGGGATGGCAGATCTTCGATGTTCAGTCGATGCGTTTTTAGGTTTTCGGAGGTGGTGAGGCCAGCGTGTCTTGGGATACCACCCCCGCCAGGAGACTCTGTCGTTGCCACTGGCTGGGGCCGAACGGAATTCGGTAAGGAACTAACCACTATATACACATAGAGATAATGATATAATCGATTTATTAAAAATATAGTTTATCTAAATCGGATTATAAGAATGAAAATAGTCGACTAATACCAAAATCGATTATAAGAATTAAAATAGTCGATTAATACCAAAATCGATTATAAGAATTGAAATAGTCGCTTAGTATGAAAATCGATTATAACAATGAAAGTGGTCGACTGACACGAAAACCGATTACACATTCACGTCCCTAAGGCGGTAGCCAGTCGACGGAGCTGCGCAGCGTGTCCGTGCCCGTTTGGGACGACGGCGAGTGCGCCGAGGTGCTGGGCACCTCGCGGCGGCTGCCCTCGGGGCCGAGTCCAGAAAGCCAGATCTGCGCGGGCGAACAGCGCGGCGGGAAGGACACCTGCCAGGTAGGTCCTAGATCCCCTATTCCAGGACGAGAACCTGCCAGGTAGGCCTATTCCAGAACGGGAGCTAGCACCAGAAGGACACCTGCCAGGTAGGTGGTTCGAACCTTCCCCTATCCAGGACGGGAGCTGGAGCCATCGGTGGGGCCACGCAACAATCCTCGGCAAGTCCGTTAGAGTAAGTACCTCGACCTCACAGCAGAAGGAGTAAAGTGATACACTTGCGCGTTTCATCCGGTGAATGAGGTAGCCGGGGTGCACTTTGCTAGAAGGCGGCCACGCATCTGTAACGCTAGGGGGTTGCAAATGTTAATAAGCGATGTTTATCACTTAATGTCTTACCGTTAAGGGCCGCCTCGCCACTTACCATCAGGTGGGAGGGCAGTCAAGTGCTGGCCAGTTTTGAATTTAAAAAAAAAATAGCATCAGGTGAACCGCCAGCTCGCTTCCACTTTCTCGTGTAAAAAGGATGTGGAAGCGCTTTTACTGTGGCCACGCCACCGCTTCGGCTGTAGCACAAATAGGCAGGCTCGTCCTGGGAAGTCAAGCACTAGCCCAATTTTCTTAAGGTTGTCAACGCATCTGGAACCCTCGGGTGTAGCAGATGTCCATGGGTGGCGGTATTCACTTAACATCAGGTGAACCGTCGGCGCGTTTGGCAACTTTTCACATGAAAAAAAAAAAGTATTACGATACAGAATACCTGCACGATGCTTTCACGATTCGTCTGGTGAGTGAGGTAAGCGGAACACACATTTTCAGGCTGTCAAGACATCAGCAAGTCATAGGCTGTTGTAGACGTCCATGGGTGGCGGTATTCATTTAGCATCAGGTGAACCGTCTGCTCTCTGATAGATTGACAGATTCTCACAGATTTTTGTATTTCCTCCCGCGAGTGAGATAAAAATAGACCACCTCTTTAAATGTTGGCAACGCGACTGTAATACTGTAATCACTTGAAATAAGAAAACCGCATATTCAATTGCCAGCCTCTGTTTGAATAAAAAAAAACCTGTCCAAACATCACCAAGATTCAGTTACCCGATCAGTAATCATGCTTTTTTATTTCCAATGCTTACATTTATGTATTAACATAGTAGTAATGGTTTAACATGTCATTATTTGGACAAATATTGAGGTCTATTTGAATATCCTCAGGGCGATTCTGGGGGGCCTGCGCAGATACAAGATGGCTGCGTTTGGAGGGTTGTTGCGGTCACTTCTCTTGGGAGGGCGTGCGGAGCCCCCAATACGCCTGCGCTGTACGCGAAAGTACAAAGAGCGTTCGTGGCCTCCGTGGTGTTCGGCAAACTGGTACCCAATGATGGGGGCGGGACCAACAGCAATGGGGGCGGGACCGCCAACAGCGGTGGTGCCGACCGATGGGGTGACAACAGCAGGCGGACTACCGAGAGGGCGACGTACAACAATGGGGGCGGTGACAACAACCGACGGAACGGCGCCAACAACAGACAGACGACTGAGAGGGCGACGTACGACAATGGAGGCAATGTCGCCGGCAGTGACGTTAGCAACAATAAACAGTGGTATGGCAACAACAACAGAGCCACGACCGAGAGGCCGACGTACGAGAATGGGGGCAGTGCCTCCAGCAATGGCTTTAACAACGACAACCAGTGGTACAGCGGTAACAACAGGCCCACGACCGAAAGGGTGACGTACAACAGTCAAGGTTCGCAGGGAGACAGTTGGAACGCAAACCGACAGAACAGTCGGATCGACAACAACGTGTACAGTTCGCAGAGCAACAGCGTCGATAAGAGACGGGACGTTCCGTTATACAATCAACAGAATTACAACACACAAAGGAACGATAGGAACAACAACAACAATTACGACCCGTACAACAATCAGCAGTTCTACAACAGCCAGCCGACATGGTGGACTTGAGTTCAGAGTTTCGTCACATAGACTTGTATAAATTTAAAAAAAAAAACAAGCTTTACTCTATCGTACTAAAAAGTTAACATTAAGTATCTTTAGGTTTAATGTAGTAAGTTCAGTTGTTCTTAATTTAAAAAAAACCGGCATTGTATAAATCAGTGTGTAATATATAAATCACTTAATGTGTGTTCTGACGTAGGCGCGACCTCACAGAAGACCGGCGTAAAGTATAATTATGAAGTATAATATTTTGAGATTTCGTCTGGTGAGTGAGGTGAACAGGGCCCCCTTTTATAATATGGACATTTATATTCTGTTAACCGTCAGTTGATGTCCATGGACCATTTAAAAAAACTGTTTCCCCAAACTAAAAACGCTTTATGATACTACACGTCATATACGATCTATTTCGTTGACCATTTTGACCAAAGTAGCCTTCGTAATAGTAATTTATCATCCGGATAACAGCGAAAATAATTATATAATTCCCAACTTTTCTAGAAATTGTACCCTTGGTCATATCCTATGTGGTTTTTTTTTATTCCTAAAATTCCTATTCGCTTTTATCTCGACAATAAAAATTGCAAGCGCTTTGAATTAAGACCAATTCGGTTTTCAATTATGCTGTCTCTTTCTCCCTGTCATATCTTAGGTTTACTATTTATAATAGGCCACCTTAAAATTGTCTTGCGTGACTTCGAAGCGAGTAATTTAACAACTACTCCAAACTAGCTCTTAAAATAATGTACATCACATTTAACTGTTGTTATATTTGGTATTTTTCTAATTATGAAATAATTTTAAAATACAAAACCCTTCGATATGAATTTGTTATTTCAAAGACCTCCACTACACATAACTAATTAGTACCAAGATAATTTTAAAAAATAGTTAAGGTGTTATTTGTATTGAAAATTGAGTACTTATTAAGAGTTGATTTTAGCGGCGTATTCATTTAAGCGAACAAGCTCCATGTATTGCCATTATCATAAAAGAAATAAACTTATAATATGTACATATTAAACGCCTTGTATCATTTAAAACCAAGAAAGAAAACTTGAGAGATGAAAACATGCCTATTTGCCTTTAATTTTAAAATTAATGATTTGTTTGTATATTTACATTCGAAAACTACCTCATATTTAAATCTTCAAATGTGTCATACATTGAAACAGCAGTAATTTCTGATGGTAGAATATTATTTACATAATTTAACTTTTTTAGTATTCCGTACCCAAAGGGTAAAACGGGACCCGATTACTAAGACTCCGCTGTCTGTCTGTCTGTCTATCTTTCCGTCTGTCTCTGTTGTCTGTTGTGTCTCATGGATCGTGATAGTTAGTTGAAATTTTCACAGATGTTTTTCTGTTGCCGCTATAACAACAAATACTAAAAAACAGAATGAAAAATTATTTAAGTGGGGATCCCATATAACAGACATGATTTTTTGCCGTTTTTATACATAATGGTACGGAACCGCATGTCTACATGGGTGAAGCTTTTAGCTTAGGGTTTATCAAACTCGTGAAAACTAACTTAAAGTGAACTTCCGTATTTAATGACAGCTTCCGATGAAACTTATTTCTACAGTCCTAGTTATTTTTGATTTTGTTCAGAGGAAAAAATGAAAAGTTATACTACCCATCGAAATTGTAATTTCGGCCTTTTATTATATTTTTTCTTCCCGTATATTATACTTTTTTTTGGCTGTATGGTTAAAATATCTTTGTCTTACGAAAATAAAGTTACTTCCTGTTCCTGTTTGGCCTTTGACCAAATTCCGATATTCCGATAATGATTTGACTGAACATGAAAAACATAATGTAGTCGAAAATCATTATCTTATCAACTCTACTCTTTCTTCTAACTAGCCCCCCGGTTTTTGTTAAGACACAAAATGACTGACGTGACAGTTGAGAAGTCCAAGTGCGTTTTCTGCAATATTGTCAATAAACTGGAAAACACCGAAATATTGTATGAGGACGAGGACGTTTGTGTATTCCGAGACATAAAACCGGCGAGTGACTTTCATATATTGACGATTCCGAAAAGGCATATTGAAGATGTGAAGTCGCTGACCCCATCTGACAAGACTTTGGGTGAGTGTTCATTGATTAAATTACTGCAATGGAACATGCAAAATGCCGCTCAGTCTGCGCGAAATACTAATAATTTGGTGAGTGTTTTAAATGTTATTGAGTGCCGTTATCGTTATGTGCAATTCAATTCAAGGATTTGCTTTAGTTTACGGTCGCACCATTTTCGTGATAATTTTAACTTTAATAGGTAGGTAATAAGTCATTGAAGTAAATACTAGAAGGATTTTTTGCGGAAATTTATAGTTTTCGAGAAATTAATTTTTTAAGTTTTACTACTAGGAATCGTTTAGAACACTATTGTTTCGTATTTTGGCCCAAAAAATTTACACAATTATATTCTTAAACAGAAAGAGACAACTTAATGATTATATCGTCTTTTAACGCATGTTATTTCAGACCGCAAAATTATTTTTGGCTTACTGTAAATCTTTGCCTTAAAAAAAAAGAGACATAGAAAATACATAACAGAATTAAATTATATTTTATTCGTCTTTCAAGTTGATTAAGTTTTTTGATATCATCATTATGGTTGACAGCCCAATTCAGAGCAATACAACCCTGACAGATTAGGTTAGTTTAGATTAAGTTTTTGTAATATATTTCAGAAACTATACATTTCCGCAGACCCTCTTACAGGGGGCTTCACCATACTAAAGCAATACCGGTACAATAACTTGTTGTTTACTGGTAAATGGTAATACACATGTACTATTGGTATGGTTTTTGTTAATTTATTTGGTAAAAAAAGAATTATGTTTATAGTAATATTATAGAGATCCTTGTAGTTGTTTCCATGACTGGGTCTATATTTGTGAACTCATTGAAGATAAAGAGCTCTATAATAGCTTGCTAAAAAGCCATAAGTTCATCAAAAAATTTTATTTTCAATACACATTTCAATCGTTATTTTATTGTATTATTTACTTACAAAAATCTACTTAAGGAATTATTGCCCATTTAGGTCTAAGGTAAGGAACACCACAATGTACACTTATAGACAGTTTAAACAATTTTAAAACCTAAATTTATTTTCAGTCGACAAAATGCTATCCGTTGCTAAAGCACAGCTTGAGAGCAACAACTTATCAGTGGAAGACGCTAGGTTCGGTTATCACTGGCCACCGTTCCGTAGCGTTCACCATCTGCACCTACACACCATTGCACCGGAGTCCAAAATGGGGATGATCGCTCGGATCATATTTAAACAGGACTCTTATTGGTTTGTCTCGGTATGTATATTTCAAGTTCTCATAATTTCTTTTATTCTTTCTTACTTTTTTCTTTTTTTTACCCTACATGGTAAATGAGGGCCACAATTGGATGCCTGCAACATCAAATATGTAGTTTTATAAACATAATAAGACTAGTAAATACTACATGTTATACTTACAAAACAGAAAATTATGTAAGTAAACTCTCATAAAACTTGTTTTATATACAGAAAATCATATAGAGGGTTGTGTCTCTGCGGATAAGAGGTTGATTGTTGTGGTATACATGAAATTTGCCAAAGAATATCTTGTGCCATTTGCTGAATCTTGTTTTGTGAAGTATGTCTAAAGCATTATTGGCACTGTGCCACATGGACTAAGTTTTTTAGCCAACTGGTATTTATATGTATAACTTAGAATTCATAAATATTGTAAATAATGATTGACATAAATAAATTTCTTTGTTTTAATGATTTGTTAAAAACAAACTTGTTTTTAGCTCCTGTTCTGTATCTAATATCTTTGCGACAATCAATTTGAATTATCCAAAAATGTAATGTCACTCAAATGTTCTATTTTTTTTTCAGCCTGGATATATAGAGACCAGATTTTGCGAGTGAGAGCTCTGCTAGAAGAGACTTCATAGCTTTAATGTGGACGGTGTGCAATTTATTTTATAGTTCTTATTTTATTTGCGCACATATCTCCATTTTACTTATATAAAAGTTAGGTAAAACTTGTAATTTTTCTATTTCAACTTTTTATTTGTTTGCATTAATTCCCAATGAAAATTCCATTACATATTGGGTTTAGGGGTGCCTAGTGTTGGGTAGTCCACATGGTTAAATAATTAGTCGATTTTAATTTAGTATGTATTTACTGCGTTTACAATTGATTGGTTTAGTACGATTTTAAGGTGAGTGACCCGTAAGAAATTTGAATTGTTAATGAGTTCTGGACGTTTCGTTATACAAGGCAAATCTTATGACAATGGACGGGAGGTGGCTTGTCGCTGGTTGGCCGCTGGTGATGGTCCCCCATCCATGTCAGCACGTTTCTGAATGGCGCCGATAGATGGCCCTGCAACACCTTGCAAGAATGGACCAACACAGATGGGAGATAATCAGGACTTTATCAGTATCTTAAATTTATGGCGGCATCATCTACACTATTTATTTACTTAATAAGTGCCAAATATGGTAATAAGCTGTTAAAAGCCCAGTTGGAAAGATGAGTTTAAATAACCACAGAGTTAATGGGAGTTTATAAATGTCCCAATGTTAGGGGGAAAACATAAAACAGTTGAATTAATAAAATGTATTATTATCAGTATTATTACAAAAAATAGTTATTTTAGAGATACATATAGAATAAATATAGGTTTTTCCTCGCTCCATTAATAGTTTACACAAAGGCAGTACTTGATTTTGGGACATAATACATACATACAGAATGATTTCCAGTTTTCCTCTTTTAAACATTGGTCCCATGTGAATATGCTTAAGCCTTATTAAAACTAAACCGACAACTGACCAGGTTTTTAATTTTTACCTTTTGTGCTAGTCTCTACACTTTAAATGAAACTGTGTGATAAATTGTCAAATGATATATAAACAGTTTGTGGTGCTCTATTTCTTGGTTATTCGTAACTTTGGAATAGGATCCACGCCCCACGGTGGGAAGTCTTTGAAAGTGTAAGTCTAGAAAATGCACCAATGTTGGCCATTAAGAGTTTTGTTTGTGACAGTAAAGAAGCTATTTTGTTTTTATAATATTATCCATAGGTTGGAGTCCGCTGTCTGTTAAGCATAGGTTAAGCTTTCAGCCACTTGGCTGCAGTCTCATATGACAACTTACCATCGGGAGGAATAAAACTTCTCTATAAGGTGCATTATAAAGAATTTTGTATATAGAGAAATATACTAAATACTTTGTGAAGAGATGTGATAGCTCAGTCTCCAGGTGGTCGCTTTTAATTCAATAACTCGAGCAACCCGAGTTCGATCCCTGGTGCCGGCACCAATGAAAATGTTAATTTTAGGTGCTGGCTTATCACATGCTCAGCGTTGAAGAAAGACATCGTGAGGAAATCTGCATATTTTCGAAATAATAACAAAAAAAATATTTCGAAGATATGCAAGTCCGCTGATCTGCAATGCGGCCGCGTGGTGGACTATGGCCTAAAAACCTCTGTATATAAAAGCTTTTGCCCAACAGTGGGACATGTGTAGGCTGTTACTTTACTTATTTAACCCTTAAGCTTCGTTCTCTTGAGTAGTAAACAGATATAGTAGTATAGTATTAGAATCTAGAGAAAGGTTTAATCCATTTTTTGTTCATTTGAAGTATATACATCTTGTAATGTAATGATATGATTGTATGGAATGAATGAATGTATGAAAATATATGAATTTTCTAAAATTAATATAGAATTATAAAATATTTCGAGATCCTGCATATTTTTAAAACAATTCAATGACTCCGTGACGCAGTTGCCAAAGTATTGACTTCGGCTTCGGGAGTCGTGGGTTCGATTCCCATACGGGACAACTGTTTGTGAGACCAACAGATAGTTGTTTCGCATCTGGGTGTTTGTCCAGGTGTCAAAATTTATGTTTGTAAAAAGTCCTTACAACACAGGATAATGTTATCATAAAGTGAGGGCAATATTTAAAAAAAAAAATAAAAAAAATTCAAATATTTGCTTCTTGACACATATACAGAGGACGTCTTTCTCAGCAGTGGGTCATATATAGGCTCTTGTGATTTTTACTGAAATAGACTCTGTTTCAGTTATTAAATAATTTTATTTTTAAAAAAAATTCCCTTTAATACCTTTCAAATATAGATAATAATGATTAAATGCTTTTTTTTTTGTCATTTGTCGAAATACATTTGTTATAATTATTATACCGACAATTTATAAAAATTTCAATGTAACTTAATGCAACAATAATAGTAGATAAATATTGCCATGATTTTTTTTTTCTAATTTTTGTAGTTGTTTCGTATTGCTTGTCTTGCTCAATTCTTTTTTAAGTTAATTAACTTAATATTTTTTATACGCACGAAACAACAATGTAAATATAAAACCTTGTGTATTACGAACTCCAAAACAGTTTGACTGGATTTCGATCGAGTCTCCAAAAGGTCTGAATATAACTAATACCTGTAGGTATTTTGATACTGGGTTTTAGCACCGGGTATACGGCGATACCCGCACCTTTGAGGCCGGGTACAGAATGTTGCAGGTATATCTCATGCCTAGTTGAGAACACTAGCATTCGACGCATGCGCAATGGCTTAGAAGCGTCGCACAGCCGCTTTCCTCGTCTGACAATCGATATTATGCGCTAAATCTCTTTCACTCTACTTTAAATATTTATCATCTTTAGCAACCAACAGCCCTTATTTGCGGCCAGATTTAATTAGGCAACCATATATGATAATTCATTAAAACTAGCTTTAATTTGATAAAATAAATCAATTATATATATTAATAAATTATTATTATGTATATTATATTTATTAACAAATGAACCTATAAATGTGTCGAAATCACCTGTTTACACCTGGCAGCGGAGAGGTCCGGCAACCGTGATTTTTTAAAATATTTATATTTGCCGTCATGTAGACGATATTTTATTTATAAAAACAAGTGAACGATTTTTTTTCCAAAAATCAATTAAAAATAATTTATTTAAAAATACTAGCGGCTAAATTTTGATTGGCAACTTGGTAGATATAAATTCTCTTCTTGTATCTTGTATTAACTGATGTTTTTGCTTTCAGTCCCGAGACTATTAAAGCTTCATCTGACGCAGAACCGATGGGCTAGCCAGCACCCACAGGTTTGGGCCCTCCGCTGTGGGTAGGGCCACGCATGTGCTCATGCGTGCGTTTAACTATGGTTTGTCATCTAAGGGCCATCGAGGTCGTGGTTCGGACCGAAACCCCGATGGCCGTCGACTGTGCAATTAGCTAATCGGTGGCTGGGGGCGGTGAGAACCGCCCCGGAACGCGGGTGTACCTTGTGTACGCGTTGTGTTGGTCTCGCCGTGCTCGGAGGCGAGGGCGAACTAGTGTGTTTGTTGTTGCACTAACTGTGGGTGTAGTGTTGTCCGGCGGGACCCCCGGCAGTGGGTCCGGCGTGTCTAAGTCCCCTTCCTCGACCGGGTCGATTAGGACGTTTCGCGGGCGACGCTTGTTGACGTTCGCGTTTTTGTCGGGTTGGTAATTTGCTGCGCTTACCACTAGAGGGTTGGGATGATGTTCGGCTCTATCGAAGAACCGTTTGGTCAGGTCTTTAAAATATTCGCGAATCGTCGGGAGTCTGCAATCGCTGTGCAGGTCGACGTTGCGTTGATACCACTGCGCACCGGTTGCGCGGCGGAATGAACTTATTTTGTACTATTTGCAACTTGTACAAGCGAGTAGGGTGCGTGTGGGCGAAGGTCATGCATGCGTAAGACATAATAGGTCGTACGCAGGTCTTATATAATAATAATTTGTGCCTTTAGGGCATTTTACTTTTAGCGTTAGTTAAGTTGTGTAGCCGGCCGGAGACGAACGCGGCTCTATTGCGAACGTTATTAATGTGCGTTGTAAATGACATACGCGAGTCGAAAGTGACTCCTAAGTATTTGACCTTTTTCTCCCAGGGGAGCGGTTGGCCATAAAGGGATATTTGCCCCAACTTTCTGCATTGACGAGGGCCATTATAAAGATGTGACGGGTAAGTACTTCGTGTGAAGTGAATCGCCACACTTTTCGGGATTTATTTCTATTCTCCATTTGCGGAACCAATCGCCGAGGCGGTCGGCAGCGCTTTGGAGTCGAGTGGTTAGTTGTCTAAGGTTGCGGTCTGAATAAAAGAGCGCCGTGTCATCCGCGAAAAGCGCGAGATTGACGTGGGGGTCTTTAGGTATATCGCTCGTGTAGAGCGTAAAGAGCAAAGGTGAGAGGCAGGAGCCTTGTGGTACGCCGGCGGTGAGGCGGCGGCTTGTGGAGAGGGTGCTTTCAACTCGATATCGAAAAGAGCGGTTCGACAGGAAGGCCTGGATGGTGTGTACGAGCCTATCTGGCACTTTGAGTGTGTACAGCTTGTAAAGCAAGCCGTTGTGCCAGACCTTGTCGAATGCTTTTGCGACATCGAAGAAAAGAGCCCCTGTACTAATATGTTTAGGGTGATTTAGGCCTTTTAGGATATGTTCCGTTAGGCGGAATAGTTGATCGGGACAGGAATGTCTAGCTCGAAAGCCGAATTGTTCCGCCGGCAGAAGGCCGTTGGAAAACACGTGCTCATTGAGCCTGTTTAATAAAAGCCGCTCGTAGAGCTTCCCCAGGCAACTGAGGAGGCTGATGGGACGATAACTAGAGGGCTGGTTGGCTGGTTTATTAGGCTTGCGAATGCCGATAACCCTGGCTTCTTTCCAGTCGTCCGGAAAGGAGCAACTGGAGAGTAAAGTATTGTAAATGGTCGCCAGTAAACAGATAAGCGGCCCAGGGAGAGCTTTAAGAATTTTGTTACTAATATTATCTGGGCCCTGGGCGGATTTGGGTTTTAAGTTTTTAATAATATCTTGAAACTCTTCGGGGGTCACTGAATTCAAAGGAT